AGAAGTGCCAACAAGGTACAAACTGAATGCAAATTCAATTTATTTACATAATTACATATGAACATCTATTCTTAATCCCCCTGCCCTGATCCTCCATTCAAATGTTTTCTATAAATGTAAAAATCAGTGATGAAAAATGAATATTACACAATGGCCAAAATAAGTCAGTGGTTTTACAATGCCATATTGCACATGTGAAGGAAAATGATTAACCTAAAGAACTTGTCTTCCTCCACATAATTAAATCATCCAATGGAAGGAAAATGAATTTTAAGTACCAGTGGCATATCAACATAGATCATTATAGCTATAAATAGAAAATTAAAAGATATGAGAAGCAGCATTTATTATTTCAAAATAGAGACAGTGGTTTAATTTAAAAGTTACAAGAATTCAACAGACCACCCAAAACCAAGGAAATCATAATTCTTAATATACTACAAGTCACACAATGACCAATACTCAATGCCCAGAAATTCCTACTATGAGAATTTTTTGAAGCAAAGGAATATTGGTTATGTTGCTGCAGAATATGAACCCAACTTAGGGTGACCTGCAGGCAATTAGGTGGTCCCGGGGTGGGTCTGATTTCCTATTTATTTTTTATCTTTTATAAATATATCTAGGGGGCAGGTAGGTGGTACAGGGGATAGAGCACCAGCCCTGGAGTCAAGAGGCCCTGAGTTTAAACCTGGCCTCAGACACTTATTAGCTAGGTGATTCTGGGCAAGTCACCTACCCCGATTGCCTCCAAATGTGTGTAGATGTGTACATACATACATATGTACACACAGAGTTTGCAACTTTCTACATATTAGCTAATTATTTGACATGGGAGTAGAAACATACATTAACCTCAGAACAGAATGCTGTCCCAAAACGAGGATAAAATTTAATAGACATATGTAAAATTTTGCATTTAGGTTTCCTTAAAAATTGAACAAAGTACAGCAAAATTTATCATTTTAGCAAATAATGTTTTTGCTGTTATTGTTGTTTTTAGGCAATTGGGGTTAAATGACTTGCCCAGGGTCACACAGTAAGTGTCAAATGTTTGGTCTGAGGCCAGATTTGAACTCAGGTCCTCCTGAATCCGGGGGGGGGGGGGTGCTCATCCACTGCACCACTTAGCTGACTCTAGCAAATAATGTTTTAAATAAAACTAACAATCTGGGTTTAAATTGATCACAACTTCCCTATGAGCTAAAAATAAGATGTTATTACTAAAAAAAACTCATATAATTTTAGGCTACAGTAATAGCAATGTTCAGATCACTGAAGAAAAACTTCTCCAGTCAAACACCCGTAATACTGCACTCTATTCTGGATGCCACTTTTTAGGAAAGATACGTCAGAATATGCTCATGAGGGTCGAAGGAAGAACTGGATGAATAACAATTAAAAGGATTTTGTTTGATATGGAAAATACTAAGAGAGACAAGACAGCTGCCTTACAATTATCTGAAGAGTGTTCATCTGTGAGTGGATTTTTTTTTTCTGAGTTCTCTGAAGTCAACATAGAGGCAAATTTAAGCTAAACCTTACAAAGAATTTTCTAACAAAAGTTTCCAAACAACAAAATGACTGTATAATGAGGTAGTGAGTTCCTTGTTCCTGGAAATATGAACGACTCCCTGTCCAGGGTTCTACAGAAGAAATTTTGCATCGGGCAAGAGATTGAATTAGGTGATGTCCAACATCCCTTCCAACTCTGAAAGGCTATGACTCTGTGACATTCTACTTCTAGCATTAAAAATTCATCACCTTCAAAGAAAGTAAGGAAGTTGAAGGGAGAGAAGGTATTGTAGCTTGCATCTGATCAGTGTCATTTATTAACTCTGATAAAACATTGAGAAAGAGGTTGAAACTTGGTTCAGATTAGTTTGTCTAGGACTGGGCTATTTTGTTCTTAAATCTCAGGTTTCCTTCCTTCCTTCCTTTTTTTTTAGACTAGGTCTCCCTCTCTCACCCAGACTGGATGTGTAGTGGTCACTCAGCCCAATCCCACTTCTGTTTGTCATGGAAGCTTTTACCTGCTCTATTCCTAACTCGGGGAGGATTGCCCCTACTTGGGCAGTCTGGTGGCCCTATCTCCCTGGGGCTTACAATATTGGTGTTGAACTTAGTTTGGATACCCAATTGACTTTAGCCTTACTGTAGCTGAGAACTCCACACCTCAAGTGATTCACCAGCCTCTGCCTCCCTGACAGCAGGGATTACAGGTATGTACCACCACGCCTGCATGTTTTTCACATATATAATTAAGAGCTGATTGTATGTTGTGGGGAAAAAAATTAAATTAAATTAGTGATCAAACACAGTGACCATAAAATTGACAGACTACCTTCTGGAACTGAATAGTACGTGGGCACTTTTTTAAGTAATGAAGACCTTGCAATGGCTTCAAATATTGTCATGCTCTCAAAGCAAACCTGATTGTTCCTACTTTCTCCCCTTGGTCTCTATGACACCTTGTCTCTATAATAGACTAAGTATAATCAACATGAAGGTGGACAAAGTTAAAACTCCTCAGACAGCCTCATCCACCTATACTAATCCAAGACTGAGGGTAGGGGGAGGTATTAAAAGCCTACGGAGCTCATTACCCTCCTTTTTATCTGAAAGTGATATTGTAGACCAACTGCTTTCTCCACGCATGAATGTGACTAAAAGCCTATGACCAATGGTCCTTCCCACAACGGATGGCACCAAGTACTGTCCCATGGCTTGTGGCTACACCAGGTAAAAACATGCCAATGTCTTGAAGTCCAACTTCCTGGGTTAACAGTCTCAAAAGCTTTACTCAAGAAGGCAAAATGCTAATTCTTAGAGAAAAGAATGTAATATTCCTGGCTCCTGTGTTTAGGTTAGGTTGGTCTACTTGGCACTATTCTTTACCAGAAGGTTACAATTGTACATAAGCATTTAGCACTGTTTCTTGAAGATTATTTTTCTGGCCCCCGTGTCACTCCATGGTAGCTTACCACACAACCTGGGCCTGGAGTTCTCACTGCTACCCATTTATTCACTCTATGCAGGAAGTTAAACCTAACTGTAATCTTGACTTCACCTTGAATGTTAAACACTAAACACTAAAAATACAGGAGGTCTATTTAACAAACATCTCCACTATTCAGATTACAATGTAACATCAATTAGAAGACTCCTGGCATCAAGTCTATATTCAGTTTCACAATGAATTTTCATAAGGTAATCTCCCCACAAACCTTATTCTTTAGCAGATGCAACCAATAATGTTCTTTATTTCTTAAAATTTTTTACAAACCAAGTTCATTATAAATATTATAAAGTTCTAAAAGTTAACAGACACATAATTTTCTTTGAAGTATATACATTGCCAATTGATATTTTCATCTTCTACGATGTTAAGAGTTAGCAACTGCAACCTTTTCCTCAAAGAAATAGTACAGAAATGCTAAAATCAGAGCAGCAAGGATGGTTTTTCAGTCAATCCCATTCAAGAAAATTTATTAAGTGCATCCCATGAGCAAGGCACTGTGCTTTACAGCAGTAAAGAAAACACTGCCAAAATGCCCAGGTTAAAAACTAAGAGTTTAGAAGATTTTGATTATATACAATATGAGGAAGACAAGGAGAAATGGGCACTGAAGAAATAATAAAGCCAAAAGAGTGGGGCAAAAATCAAGACCCTGATGACACTTAGCCAGGAAAACTAGGAAAGGGTCAATTTGCTGAATAAGCACACATGGAAGACTTTTTAAATTATACTTTAGAGAATGTTTCTCTGGGGTAAATTTCTTCTACTTAATTAATGAATTTCAACATGAAAGCGCTTCTACATAGCTGCTATATATTCATTCAAATGGTTATCTGAGCAGGGAGTACCCATCAGTCCATTAGGTCATTAAAAGCTCTCTATGACTATGGAGAAAGCATGAAACAACATGTTCCCGAGCTACAGATAAATACATAAAACATTAAGCAACTGAAACAGACAAAAGGTATTTCAGGCAGGCAGTGCTATGATAATAGAAATTAATCTGCTAATTTCTAGAAGGAATATGTAGTAATAACACATTGAAAAATGGCAACAAAATGTGGTTTTAGCCAGACTGTGGTAATAGATATTTAACAGCTGAATGCATTTTGAGGGACAATAAGGTGCCCTGTTCAGCAAATCCAGAGTTCAAGAATATCGATCTTCCCAGGCCAGTAAGCCTAAACTAAACTCTTTGGGATTCTGAATGGTCCTCTAACCTCTACTGGGGTTCAAAGAAAGAGCTTTTGGAGGCAACAGGAAGATGTCCTCATTCTTTTCTCCCTTTCACCTCAGTTTTATGAATGAACAGAATCCTCGATGAGTGAATCATCTTATCAGCCACCTCAGCTTCTCATCAGCAGCAGGACGTGATAACCATTGTTGCAGACAATAACTGACTTCTAAAGCACATTTGACTTCCAGACATTTCACTTTTACCGTGAGCTGACTCAGGGATGTGGTGTGTGGAAATAAAGGGCTTGCCAGGGAAAAACCCACACCAATCATCCTCGGATGTTCCCAGTGGAACTAGCCCCTGGATTCTTGAAAGCTGGGCCAGCAGAGCGCAAACTCTTGCAGGTGCTGGACAGCCAGGAAGGCTTCAAAATAAATACCTGGCAACGTGTGCTGATGTGAGAAGGGGCCCAGAACTGATATTCTTGGCTCCAGTAACTAAAGACAACTATGTACAGAAGTATAGAGGAGTTTTGACCTGTGGTGTAGAAGTAGGCATACTAATAGACTCATAACTAGTGAGAAGTAATAAAGGAAGCCAAAATAAATGTGGTTATTTAATAACATCTTGGCTTCTCTCATCTAAGGGAAAGAGCAAACTTTCCAAAGGATTTTAGAATCACAAAACAGACCTTACTTTTGGAAATATAAGCAATTTCTAATTTTCAGACTAAATGTGACTATATTTTTGAGGAGTCAAAATGAGATTCAAAGTGTAACTTTTTCATGTGACTATAATTGGTTGTAGTTCTAACATGAGAGCCTCAGTAGTTTTTTTTTTTTTTATTTTGTTTTAAGGGCAAGGAGACAAATGAAAGAGAAAAAAAATTGTCCTATGATCTATGACCCTTACAGTGTCATTCTGCAAGGCCCATGGCTTTGTATCAAGGTGAAACTTAATGACGTTTCTCATTTTCACAAGAATAAAAACTAAATAGTCCTTGATGCTTTAACATAATGTTATTGTAACGGCTAAAAAAACACATGCACACAAACATACACACATACAACTCTTGCATCCAAAATACCTGGTAGAAATAACCAGTGCCCACATTCCTTCCAACCATCCTCCTCATTGGTTGTACTTGGTTCTACAGTGGACCTAGACAGTCAAAGTTACTTGTGCAATAACAACATAAAATGTAAACAGAAATCATCACAGGGTTTTCCATGGAGTTCAGTGCTGCTATCGAATAATGTCCAAATAATGCACTTCTGGGTACAGAGAGTTAATAAGAAGAGCCAGAAAACTTTTCCCATCCTGAAGACAATGGCCAGGATGCTTTATAAACTGGGATGCTTGGGAGATCTGTTCCTGATACTCTACATACTGTTTGCTTGAAGACATGGATTCAAGAGTATTTAGTGCCTAAAAAACAAAGAAGATGACATTTAACTGTACATAGGCATCTCACAGCACGTACCTATTTGAAAATGCAATTTAAGTATCAGTACCAGGGAAAATGTACAAAACTAGAAAAAAGCATCTTTATATGCCTCTGTGTGTGTATACTTACATATATGCTATAGAGGAGGCCCCAATAAACAACATTTAGAAGCAAAACTACTTTCCCTGATTTCTAAGGTCTTCAATAACCTGACTCCACACCACCTTTTCAACCTTATTTCCTGATTCCAGCACTAGCTTCCTCAAATACCAGCTTCATTCTGCAATTCATTCTTCTGCCCATTCTTTTCTCCCTACTTGGAAAGGGCTCCTCCCCATTCCCACACAAACCCAAATCCAATCCATTCTGCAGAGCCATCTCAAGTCCCCTCCCCTCTAGGACCATCCCATCCTACACTTCTCTTTCCCGTGCTCAACTCGTCTTTCGACGAAGAGTCAACACCACTTAGTCTAATTCTTCTGTGTTTTCTGTGCATGAGGTTGGTCCCCCTGAGAGGCAACAAGTTTACTTCCATTCAGTAGACCTTAGAACATTCATTTTGTTAAAACATTCTTAGAACTTAAGGCCTAAGTCATCCTGTCATTTAAAAATTTTTGCATGAACCAAGCTTCAAAAGTCATTTGCTAAGAGGTAAAAGCAGCCTGACTTAAAGGCTCTTAAGTCAGCACACCCCTTCTTTTAAGCACATCATACTCCCTCTTTTCTTTAGAGGATATGAGTCAAATCAAAAAGTTGAAAGGGGTCTGCTATGCTTCTCTCCTAGGAGAGCAAAGAGAAAAGAAAATACTCAGATCAATGAAAGGAAGAAGCAGTGTTTGACTCCAGAGAGAAGGGGAAGGTGCCCTGGCTTTCTACCCTTCCTGAGCAGATGTTCCTACTGTGCATTAATAAGGGAGTTACAGATCAGGAAATTGGCACTAACAGGGACAGCTGGATAACAACAACCACAATAAGGATGGACAGAAAGATGGAGAGATAGAGATGATATGGATATATCTATCTATAAACATACAGTTATAGATATATGGTTTTATCTGAGGTGAAGAGAGATGGGCTCTGACCTTGCTCAGGGAGCAGGCACAGAGAAGATCTGATAAGGGCAAGAGGTGAGCTGGCAGGTTAAAGATAAATTACCAAGAGCTTCACATCATTCGAAGCCAAGTAGTTGCAGATAAACTAATGGAGAGTTCTGTTGCATCAAATTAAGATTAAGAGTAGCATAAATTGTTATAGTAACTGTTGAGAATTAAAAAGCAAAGACACATCCATGTGTCTTAGAAATTTTGCAGTTAAAAATTAGAAGTGACCCCAGAGTCCTAGTCAAACCCCTGGTTTGATCTTAGAATTTTATTTTTTATTCTGAGTTTAACAAACACAAAAACATTTCCATATACAAAATAGAATAGAAAAAGAGGATTATATATGAAAATGCAAATCTCTCATGCATAGCTTTGCGTGCGAGCGAGCATGCGCTCGCACGCGCAGGCGCACACACACACACACACACACACACACACTAATTCAACATATTACTTTCAAAGCTATCCTACCTGACTTTGTTTCCTTCTGAATTTCCTTTAGCTTTTTCCCATGCACTGTTAAAAATGCCTCAATTACCTTTCTTTTCTTTCTTGCCAATCCTATCACTAGCTCCCTCTTCTTGTTGTGTAATTGCTTTCTGGTTCTGCTTACTTCACTTTGTATCACTTCACATAAATCTTCCCATGCTTGTCTGAATTATTCATATTCTTAGCTTCTTAGATGCAGTGAGTGGTTTTCCACTGCATTCATGCAGTGACTATAACTTGGTCAGCCATTCCTCAACAAGTGGGCAGTAGCCACCTTGTTTCTAACTCTTTGCTACTACAAAAGATAATCACTGCTAAACTTTTTAGAATGGCATTTATTGTTTCCATTGCTTTATAATCTGGCTTCCCTCCCCAGAATTCCACTGATAATACTACCTCCAAGGGTTACCCTTAACTTCTCAGTTGCAAAATTCAATGGCTTTTTCTTCTTCCTGATTTTCTTTTGCTTTTCTGTAGCATTTTGTCCATTCAATGCCTTTTTTATTCTCTCCCCACTCTGACTTCTATGACACTGCTCATCTACCTACCATTCTATTAGAAGAACCTCCTAACTAGCTTACCTGACCCCAATCCCTTCGTTACACAGTTGCCAAATTAATCTTCCTGATCCATATGTCTGGCTGTGTCACTCCCTTGCTCAAAAACCTTCAGTAGCTCCCTATTACACAGAAAGAAGCTATTACATACTTGCTGAGCTTTTGGAGAGAAATGTAATTCAGAACCAGACTTCAAACGAATTCGATCTTCTGCAGGAACTTGAACTGAAAGGAAGGCAGCCATGCTTCTTGCAACCACACGGAACCTTGGAAAATGCAAAGGCAATAGGAGGAACCAATCACAATTTACATAGACATTACAAATCAAGTGTAGGAATTTCTACCAAAATTCAACCATGGTAAAGAATATCTCCATTTTTTGTTAATGCCTTCAATAAATCTTAATCTCAAGCAAAAAATACATATATATATATATTACTTATGTCATATAGAGCTTTAGCATATTTTAATCCTTTATAACATCATATATAGCACATCAAATTCAGGTACAAGAATAAAAGCATATCCCCTCAACCAAGGGAAAAATTTGATACCAAGGAGCACACTAGCCCTTAGGGATTTATGAAATTAATTTGTAGCCCTTAAAGATTAAAAACAAAGCCAAACCATATTTTTTTTTAAATTAAGTATGATTAAATTAAGGCAGCTAGGAAAAGTGGTATAATGTTATACCTCAGGCTACTCAAAGATTAATTTATAGATTTGCTATTGATCATGGATGGTTTGTCCTTTGTCCTCAAAAAGGACCATAACATCAGGAAGATGATGACATGACTTGCGACTGAATTGGATTTGAGTGAGGGAGAGCTGTGTAAAGTCACCAGCCTCACTTTCTCCTCCAGAGCCATCTGGGTCCAGGGGCCAGATATAGATCAGGACAACTGATGAAGGTTCAGAATGCAGTGAGAGACCTTGGCCTTGCAGAGGTTCCCAAAGTAGGCAATACTGCCCCCTGGGGGGCACTGGAACAATCCAGAGGGCAGTAGAAGCCTTAAGTGCAACTGGGGGTTGTTGAATAAAAATAAGGGGGCAGTAGAAGCATAAGGAAAAAAGATCAGAAAATTTTTAAAAACTGTTCAAACATGTTTTATCTGTTGTGTAACAGAGTTAAAGTCATAGTGATTACATTATTTTCCAAATAAACACACACTATAAGTAATAATCGATAAGTAGTCAAGTCCACCAAGAGGTCTTAACAAGCAAGTGTTGGCAGGTGAGAGCTACAGTTACATTAAATACTGGACAATATGAAAACAAATTTTGAAGAGAAATTAACTTGCAGAATCCTGTTGAATTCTACAATATGCTAAGAAACATAGTGTTAAAATATAGACTTGTTGGATTTGGAATGGCTGTATTTCACTAAGTCTGGCTCTTCCACAGGAATGTTGCTATTCCAAAGGTATGAAAAATATCTTCAATACTGATTAGGACTAGAAGAATGTAATAGGAGATAATTAAGCATGAAGAGATAATCTAGAAGTCTAACCAAGCCAAGACACATATTCTTTCATACAAGATTCTAATTCAAACCTTTGGGGTTTTGTTTGTTTATTTTTTAAGACTACTCGGATTCCTTTCTCACCACTTACCCTTCTTACCAACAGGCTTTAACACATCTTTGATGATTAAATTTTTAATTCAACTGTCTGTTTTGTCCTTGTGCTTGCTAACTTTATATATCTTAATACATAAAGCAAATAAAGTCATGGCTTTATATGAGATTATATAGACATATACACTTTTTTTTTACTGTCATTCTGGAAAACCTAATTTTTAAGCTTAAAATATCAGCAAGGGTACCAAAAGGACCAAATAGAATAATAAGATTTAGAATTGAAAGGGACTTTGGGGAGTATCTAGTACAAACTCCCCATTTTACATAAAAGAAAGCTGAGTTCATGAAAGGTGAAGTCATTTGCCCAAGATCACACAGCTAATAAGTAGAAGAGTAGGTCCTCTGATTAAATCTATCACACTTCCCACTACACTATATTGTCACCATAGGCTTCTGAAACCTACTAGATTGGTAGAAATATAGGCTACGCTTTTCCCTAAAATACGGTTTATGTAAAACCTGAATGTGGCCTAGACATCAAAACATCAAGAACAAACCATCACTGAAGCAGGTCAAAACTCCTTTACACCTTGGTAGTTTTCTTAAATTGCTTTGGCTAAAAAAATTCATCACTTGGTGGCCAACGTTCTGCTTAGAAGCTCCACTCAAGTAACATAGGTTGGTCCAAAAGAATGTAAGCTCCTTGAGATTTAAGGATTACTTTACTTCTGTCCTTGTATGCTCAGTATCGAGTATGGAACCTGGCAGAGATTAGGTGTTAATGAGTGAATGGTCCTTAATAGCAGGCATACAGTCCATCACCGGGCCCGTGCTCAGGCTTCTTCTGGCTCAGGGCAACAAGCCAGAGCTTCCAAAACATAGTTCAGTGTCCTCTCCATATGACAGTGAGACACTAGAGAAAGACTCCAATGGAGGTAGTTTGGTCTATAATTGGTAGTGGTCTTTACTTCATACCTTTGTTTTTTTTTTTTCATCACAGACTTCATTTAGTTTTAAACTAATGGGGTGAATCAACAGTTTTTTCATCAGCATCCATACCAGTTTTGGAATTGGGAATTCATGAAGAGGAATATTTCCTTACAATTCTTACCTGTTGGACAAGGGAGACTTCCTGCCTAGTCCAATGGCACCTAGTATCCCTGAGCTCAGTCTCTCCTCTGCTGCCTGGCTTTGTCTGTTCTGGATCCCAAGAAGAGTCCGGATGACTGATCCAATCAGCACAGTGTCATCCTGCTCGGCCTGGATCAGGGACAACTGCAGTGCTTGGTGCCACCACAAAAAGAGCTTTGCCTCATCTCGCACAGAGCTTGGAGTGGGTACATATGAAAAGAAAGGGAAAAATAAGGAGCGGATTTGCACCCTGACCTGCTATTCTCTCCCAGATTTAGGTTTACATTTGGTTTTCAAGTTCATGATACATGCTATAAACCATAATGTAAGCTGAAAGCTCAAATAAAAATATTACTTTTATAAAAGAAACCTATAAGGAAATATGCATAAGATCATCAACTTGTAGTGGAAACAAAACTGGCTTGGCAATCTGGGTGCTAGTCCCTACATTCTCTGAACTAGTTGTATAACCTCAGGCAAATCTTTTCCTTGTCTAGGCCTGTCTCAGTTTCCTCATCTGTAAAATGAAGTGGACAGGAAAAGAGGAAGAGTTTGTATTACATGTCCTCTAAGGTCCTTAGTGCCAACATTCCATCATTCTAAGGGTTTCCGGTAATCTGCTCTACTATTTGCAACCAGAGTTTACAGTAAAAAATGTTTTACTTTTAATGGGAGGTTTCATATTTTAATACTCTATAGCTTCCCTTGTAATCACTTAGCAAGGTCTTCTAAGGCACAAGGCCTGGCCCTGAAACCAAATTAAAATGTAATGGGGGAATATTTAACAAAATAAATAAAAATATAATAGAGTATTTGTAATGTTAATACATGATTTCTAAATCAATATACAGCCCACAGGGATCCTTCTGTAGGGTTTAGTGGTCCCATTTCTATTTGAGTTTGAAACCACTGTTCTAAGGTATTTCCAAAGGCATTGAGTCATCCCAGCTATACATTCAATTCATTCATTTAATCAAAAGCACATTGAGAAAAATCTGGCATAGGATTGTCCTTATCTGTTTTATATACCATGTGTCTCTTTGTGTTTATGCTCAATGAAAGCTTAAATACTCACATTAAAATAAAACATTAAGTTAACCAAGTAATATGTTTAATATGGCATCCAGACAGAACACCAACAACATACCTGGGATATACCTGTTCCAGCCACTTTCCTAACGTTAGCAACATTTTCATTTCATTTCTTAGTGTTTGCTCACTATTTAAACACTGAAGCATATAGACATACAGTGTCAAATAACTTCCAAGGGACAGGCACTCCTGAATAAAGTCTTCTATGGTGAGTTCAGGAACTTGAAGGGATACCAGGATAGGACCCCATCCCAAATGATAGTTGAGGGAGTCTAATAATAGAACAGGAAGCAGAGAAATTAAGTAAACAGACCAGAATCAAACATAATAACTCAATTATTCTAATAAAGCCTTTCATTTTAAACTTTATAATGTGAAATTATTTCTCATATTAGTCTTAAAGAAAATCAGCACATCAACTCTTACATAAGAAACATTCAGGAACCAAACATTTGACTGAGATGAGATGCAGTATAATATACAGGAAATCTGACTGAGCTAAGATTAGAAGTTTCTAATTTCTAGGCCATTATCTTTCATCTTGCTCAAAAAAACATTTAAGTTACCTAATGAAGCAGACTACCATGCCAGATACTATATAAACAGAATATATGAACCTCTTTCCTGCCCCCAGAAATTGCAATCTTGGGAGACAAGAAATACATACATACATACACCAATTGGGGTTAAGTGACTTGCCCAGGGTCACACAACTAGTAAGTGTCAAGTGTTTGGTCTGAGGCCAGGTTTGAACTCAAGTCCTCCTGACTTCAGGATTGGTGCTCTATCCACTGAACCACCTAGCTGCCCCTGGAAATATATATGTGTGTGTGTGTGTGTGTATACACATATATATATATATACATACATATATATATATATATATATTTTAACAATACCATATTAAGGGATTAGGAAAGGTAATGGGCAGGGGAGGGAAATAAGAGCATTCATTTCTCAGTGTATTATTATCATATTATTATCATGTTCAGATAGTAATCTGTTAAAAATGTTTCACAAAATCATGAAAGGTAACTATTGGTTCTAAATCAGAAATTTAAACAATTAAACATTCCCTTTTTTCTCTGGTAATAAGATTTAAGCAAATTTTCTGAGTCATGGGATGCTAGGGTTATAGGAATTGGGGCTAGAAGAATCCTGAGAGGTTATCTAGTACAAACTCTTTATTTTTACAATGAGGAAAATGAGATAATTGATATACTTCAGGTCATACAAGCTGTAAGTAGCAAAGTGAAGATAAAGTTAGGAATATAATAAGAATTAGAGCCTTAAAGTAGTCTATGTACACATTATGACATAAACTTGCAAAATTATCATTCTGATATCAAGAATGCTACCCACTTGCCATGACCCTCAGACTTGCAACTCTCGACACTGAAATGGAAAATATCACGGGAGACATCTTTGCAGACATGCCAATAGTTCCACTGCACTTATTAGGGTGGTTTTGGAGACATACAAAGCCCACTTCTACCTGTCAGTTGATTGTGCGTGTGTGTGTGTGTGTGTGTGTGTACATATTCTATTCACAAGGTACACATCTTAAAAAAAAGAGAAATTTACATGATAATTTTGTTACATATTTAAAAGGACTAGAAAGTTGTATATAATAGATCTGCAGTTTCATGTGCAATCATCTTTTTTTATACTATGTTATGGAAATGCTTGTTTTATTCCATAAATTAAAAATAAATAAAACATAAACAAGAAAAATTTTTAAAAAGAAAAAAAACTAAAAGTTATCTTAAAAATATTGAGAAAAGTGCACCAGTTAAACAATATTCTTTATCTGAGAGTTGGTGATGATTCTATGTTATTATTAGTTATGCTACAAGGGTAACTTTTCAATCAGATGATGGAAAAGAAAGCCATACCTAAAACTGAAAAACTGAGGAGAAAAAAATGAACCTCAGAGGTTCTCCAATCAATCAACAAGGATTTACTAAACACCTACCACAAATGCTGTCCTAACTCCAGACCAACTCTTTAATGTTATACATAAAGAAATGGAAGCCCAATAGTTAAATGTCTCACCTGAGATCATACAGTGAGTGGAAGAGCTGAGAGTAGAACCCACACCTAACTTCAGTGTTGTTTCAACAATGCATAACTGAAAACTTAACAACTGAAACTGGAGAGTAAAGTAAGCAGCATAGAAAAATGTCAAGGACAAACACTAAGATTCAATCATGGTTTAGTAAGAGTACATGGTTAAGTTTTCCACAATAAATAAAAGATTTAAAGTAATGATGACTGGGATAATAAAATTCTATACCACCAATGTAATATTAATCAAAGATATAATCAAAAGGCATAAATAACATGAGTATGATTTATTTAATAAAAAAAATACCAGGGCAGCTAGGTGGCACAGTGGATAGAGCACCAGCCCTGGAGTCAGGAGGACGTGAGTTCAAATCTGGTCTCAAACACTTACTAACTGTGTGACCCTGGGCACTTGCCTTTAAAAAAAAAAATACCCCCTCCCCATCCCAAAAAAGGGAGCTATATTCACAGACACACAAGAATTCAGAATGATACCTCCCTGATTCATGTTGTTCTTTTTCATCTCCTAGATCCCAATATATCATCCTTTGTAACTGAAGTTTTCCCAGAAAAGACAAAACTATGATGCAAGATGATGCTCACTCACCATCCTGGAAGTACGCAGTGATACAGGCCTCTGTAATTTCAGCCATGTGTCGGACAGAAGCCAAGCTTTGGCATGCTGCTGTCAAAAGGGGCAGCACTACTAGCCCATGTACTTTCTGGTCAATCCAGTTCCGGACACTGCCCCGAAGGAACTCAGCCGTTGGGACACTAGCATTATTCATCATCGTTAAAACTTCAACAAAGAGTCTGCTGAGGGCCATATGGCGAGTCTGGTTATCCATATCTGAAGGGAATAAAATATATACATATCCACTGCTACTCATAGCTAACTCATCACTGGTCCTCCAATGTTATTAAAATTCATCTCATGAAGGAAAGAACAGCAACATTTAAATTCTTAGCTACAGTCTGTGCAGACTTCAGAGTTTATAGTTTCTAAAAGAACCAAAACATAGCCATTCCATAGTTCTAGCAAGTTAATAAGTGTTGGCCTCCTGCATGAAAATGTATCTTCTAGGTACTAAGGGGAAGTTAATGCTTTCAAAACACCTAGGAGCCATGGTATATGAAAGCAGTAATATGCTAAGTGATAATAAAAAAGCTACTTTTGGAATGTTTAGCTAGGCATATTTCATTTCTTAGACATTCAAATACAAAAATAAACAAAAAAGTTCAAAGGTTAATGGTAGTCTGAGAAGCAGAGAATTGTCATGGACAGAGAGCATCTGAGTCAGGAAGACATGAATTCAAGTTCAAGCTCTGAAACGCATTGGATACATGACCCTAGGCAACTCTTTTAGAGTTGCAGAGTAAGACTACAGTTACAGAACAATTGTCGATCTGTATTTGTAGAACACATTTCTTCACAAGTCCAATTTCTCCAACCCACTGATCCCCAACCTCACCAAAAAAAGGGTAAGATACTTAGAAGCATTTATTACTATGTTAAACTTCAAGATCAATGAGCCCATTGATAAGAAGGAATATCAATTATCATACTAAGTTAGATTGAGAAGCTAAAAGTACAAAAACTGGTAAAGATTGTAGGTTAGCAGGAAGCTGTAACCCAGTTCTCTCCCAAAGCAACTGTAATAAAGATCAAGGAAGAACACCAAACCAAGGAGAGAGAGGAAAATCCAAGGAGAAATCACAAGAGGTCATTTTTCCATCCCAAAATCACAGAGTCCTAGACAAGTTGCTAATAAGGTAACACACCAGGGACAGACCTACAGCTCAGTTGCTTTAACCCTAAAGGAGGATTTCCATTCATCCTGTAGATCTGAGGTGGGGCCTGTAGATAGGTAGAAAGGGCAAGGACAAGTCCTAACACAAAGTTTCAATTCAGGAAATAAAGTTGAAAGAATGAGAATGAGAAAACTGGAAGAATGTCATGAAAAGACGTGAATGATAGAGAGGTATTATGGAGCCAATACAAAAACCTAGATAAAGAGAATAACTCCAAAACATCTACAAAGCAAAGCCTCAAATAAAAAGTCAACTTGCTACGAAGTCACTAGAATGCCTGGAAGACTTTTTTTTAATGTTAAAAATCATATAAATAAAGTGACAAGAGGCAGAGTGAAGAGAAGCATTTTTGCTTAATTCATCTACCACATCTCTTTCACAACAACCTAGAAAACATGCCAGACCAAATTCTCATCAGGAAAGCCATGAAAAAGACACAGTGAGTCATTTTCCTAGCCTAAGGAAGCTTAGGAAGACAGATAGAGACGTCTGACGACCTGAGGTGAGGGTGCGACAGCAGTCATGACGGCCACAAGAAGCATACTAGTGCCCAAGGACAGAGAGGGAGCCAAGACAAGAGTACCAAGACAGTAATTACCAGGGAAAAGAGAGATCTCAGGGGACCCCTGAACTAGTGCTGGGAGCACGAATGGTTCCAAAACTTGCAGCTCTATCACCCACTGTCCAGTTCTGGATCACAGATCTAGGATAGAAAGGTGTGGTGGCAAGCGAATGGGGCCCTAGTTTTCCCCCCTACCCAAAAAAAGGCAGACTGGACACAAGCCCAACAAGAATTCCTAAAAGAGATAAGAAAATTATTTTTAAAACCAAATAAAAAATATGGAAGAAATATATGAAAAGAGAATTAACATTTTGGTAAAAGAGTTACAAAACCTTACTGAAGAAAGTAACTCCTTGAAAATCAGAATCAGTAAAACAGAAACTAACAACACCATGAGACATCAAGAAATAATAAAAGACTAATGACTCCATGAGACATCTAGAAATAATGAAACAAAGTCAAAAGACTGGAAAAAAAAAGAAAATATGAAATATCTCATTAAAAAACTGACTTATAAAATAGACTGAAGAGAGATAATCTAAGAATCACTGGACTACCTGAAATCCATGAATAAAAAAATAGCCTGGATATCATATTTTGAGAAATTATAGGGAAAACTACCCAGATATCTTAAAATCAGAGGGCCAAGTAGAAATTGCAAGAATCTGCTGATGACCTCTTAAGTGAGATCACAACTCTAGAGAAAAGAAATAGAAATGAGAGCTCTCAAAGAAAGACATAAAAGAATTAATAGCTGAGCACAAGAAGTATGAAATCTTACCCAAGTAACAGACTTTCTGAAAATCAGAATGGCCCAAATAGAAGTTAATGACTCTGAGACAAAAAGAAATATTAAAAAGAAGTCTAAAGACAAAACAATAGAAGAAAATACAAGGCATCTCAAATAAAAAACAAATGACTTTAAGAAAGAAGACAAAGATAATTTAAAAAATTTTAGACTACTAGAAAGTCATAGACAAAAAAACTGAGCCTATATCCACATCCAAAGAAAGAACTATGGAATCTGAATGCAGATTGAAGCATACTATTTGCTAATTTTTTTTCTCTTCTGTTGAGTTTTGTTTCCTCTTTCTGGTGGTCCCTCTTATTGGTTCTAATTCTAACTTACAACATCACTAATGTGAAAATATGTTTAATAGGAATGTATATGTATAGCCTATATCAGATTGTGTGCTGTCTTGGGGAGGATGGTAGGGAGCAAGGTGGAGAAAAATTTTAAACCCAAAAGCATATGGAAGTGACTGTTGATAAATCAAAATCAATTAATTAAAAAAAGAAAAACTAACCCAAGATATCATACTTCAGGAAATTATGAATGCAAATTTCTCTGATCTATTATGCCCATAAGGCAAAGTGACAAAAAAAAAAGAAAGAAAGAAAAAGAAAAATTACTGGTTAACTCCTGAAATTCCAAAATGAAAACTTTCATGAATGTCCTAGCCAAAATTCAGAGTTTCTAGCTAAAGAAAAAAAAAACTTTAAGCAGCCGGAAAGAAAGTGTTCAAGTTCTAAGGAGCTACAGTTAAGATTGGGTAATATCTGGCAACTACCGCCATAAAGGAAGTAAAGAGTATGTCATATGATATTCTAAAAGGCAAAAATATAGACTTATAGCCAAGAATAACTTACCCAGAGAAACTCAGAATAATCCTATGGAGAAACAAATGCAACTCCCAAACATTCCTTATGAGAAGAACAGAGCTACATATAAACTTTGGAAGAAAAACACAGAAGTCAAAAGAAACACAGAAAGGTAAATATGAATGAGCAATCAGAAAGGGCTATACAAGGATGAAGTGGTTATATTCCAATATTAAGAGAAGATATAAATGTCTCTTCAGAAGATTAAGTTCATCACATTACTGTACTGCCAGTGGAGCTGTGAATTGGTACATCCATTCTGGAAAGTATACCCCAAATTTACTAAACTATGCATATCCTTTGACCAACGGATACCACCATTAAGCCTACACTCCAAAGAGTGGAAAGAACTCTTGAAAAAATTCATATGTACAAGAATATTTATAGAAGTTCTTTTTGTAACATACGGTAATGAACTGGAAACCAAGGGGGTACCCATCAATTGTGGAATGGCATTCCTGCACTGTAAGAAAAGATGAAAAGGATAGTTTGAGAGAAACATAAGAAGCTTTTTACGAAGTGATACAGAATGCAGTGAGCAAAACCAAAAGAACAACTTACATAATAACATTATAAAGACAAACAGCTTTGAAAGATTTAAGAAGCTTAGTGGGATAAATGGTAAACTAAAAGTTTAACAACAGAGATGGAAATAAGCACTACCAAAAAATACTGCAGAGGTCAGAGGATCTTTCTTCCAGCAAGTATAGAAGACCAGAAAATTTTACAGTGACCTACATATATAACAGGATATTTTTCTTTCTACCATGGCCCAGTCATTGCTACTACATTACATATCTACAGAGTACAAGTTGGCTGACTCCCTTCTGAAAAAGAAAGAAAATTAGAATGCTTCTCCACTCTCTAGGTGATCAGAGAGAATAAAACATTTCTTTAATAAAAATGAAAGCGTTTGTGTTTTTTTTTTCCCTGAGTTAAAAACAAAGACAAAAGGATGTGAAAATGCATAATGGAACCCTTCAGGAAGTTAGAGAATGAAAGAATGTGTGTGACACAGAAGAAAGACTTGAAGAATGGCTGCTGAACCCCTGAAGCTAAGTAAGTAAATGAAACTCTTCCCAATGAGAGAGAATTGGATCTTTGGAGGAAGAGACATCTCCCATTTCGTTGTTACCATCATTCCAAGCTATTTGGCTAAAACAAGTTAGCAATTTTTCCATTTGTCACTTACCTGGTGGATTAAAGACAACAATGTCATCCAAAAGCTTAGACATTTCCTGTTCGAGTACTGCAAAAGTAATTTTTCCATTTTGTTCCAGAGAGCTAAGAAACTGTACCACCTGGCGAGTGAAAGCTAGGCATTTTGGAACTGCATCCTAATGGAAAACAAAAGATTTTCAAGTCAGTTCAACTAAAATTCAATGAACATTCACATTCAACAACAGAAGCATTTTTTTTTTAATTTGACATTCATTATCTCATTTGATTGTCACAACAATCCTGGGAAGAAATGATGCTGGTATTAATTGATTCCAATTTAGG